TTTTTTTTTTTTTTTTTTTTTTTTTCACTTGTGAACTGTATATTTCATATGAGCATGCTACAGTGTAATTGATGCTAATTAGCCAGCTATTGCTGTATCAAAATTTCAATTTCTAAAAAAAGAATGTGTATCATATTTATTGTTTTTATTTAAATGATAGACTGGTTTCCTTGAGATGTATGAAAGTAAAAAAGCTAAGCAATGGAAAACAAGCCCAAAACAAAAGAGAGCTGAGAATAAAATTGCAAGGACAGATATTTGGTAATAGTCGAGAAGGACCAGCAGGAGCAATTGAAGTGAGTCAAACTTTGTATCTCCTTTCCAGAATCCTTCTATACCTTTAAAAATCTTCTTATTTCTCTTTAGGAAGATGTGCAAGTGTTAGCCAAGGAAAGCAGGTTGTCACAAGAATCTCCTTCAACATAGTATTTGACAAGTCTAACTTGAAGCCATCCCCACCTCACCTCTAAAGTTACTAAAACTATAAATTTCGACATCTTTGGAGAAAGTGATCCAAGTTGTTTGATGCATGCGTATAGAACTAAATGCACCACTAATCCTTTTGCTACAAATGAGAAAGGAAAGGGCTAACAAGAAAACACTCCAAAGACTAGTGGGTTCAAAGGTGAAAGTTCCTAATGAAAAGCATGCAAAAGGGAAAAGAAGGAGGATGTATCGTTGGCTTCCCTGTCAGACTAGGGTCCCTTGAAATGAGATTTAAAATAATTTCCACTCTCAAATGAAGACGGGACAGAAGCAATGCACATAACTTTCACAGAAGAAAAGTAGTAGAGACGGTGGTAAGACAACAGTGGGGACCACGTCTATTGGCCCTCCTAGAAATGAGCACGAGTCGGTGGAAATTTTTGTGATATTGGAAAAGCAAGGAGACCAGGGGATGTTGCTTGCCTTGGGTCACTGCAGCAGTATGCCCCACCTCACACGGTGATGTGTGTTCTATAATCTCATGCAGATGTTGGACTCGGAGGTAAATGTAACTTCGAGTTTGGGAGTGAAGTCTATTTTGAGTACATGTACTTGCTTCTTTTATGCCTTAGGAAGGCGTTTAGATGAGAGATATCAAGTTTGGCTTTGCATTTTCAACAAGTTGAATTTAACTCTCCCTCACAAATTGGGGGGGGGGG